CCTACTACGAAGCCCTCACACTCATCAACAGCCTGCTGAAGGAGTTGAAGCGCCTGGACGACAAGCTGGTCTTGGTGGAGGTTCAGCTGCTCGAATCAAGGGTCTACCACGCGCTGGGCAACATACCAAAGGGTCGCGCTGCCCTCACGTCCGCACGAACATCGGCTGCTTCGGTCTACACTCCGCCTCTGCTACAGGCTGGTCTCGATATGCAGAGTGGCATGCTGCACGCAGAGGACGGCGACTTTAACACCTCCTTCTCCTACTTCATCGAAGCCATGGAGGGGTACCACTCACAGGATGAAGAGCAGAAGGCTACTTCGGCACTCCAGTACATGTTGCTCTGCAAGATCATGCTCAACCTCGGAGACGACGTCACCTCGCTCATGGCCTCCAAGCACGCTGTCAAGTACGCAGGCAAGCGGTTAGAAGCCATGAAGGCCGTAGCGCGCGCACATACCAACCGCAGTCTCGAAGAGTACGAAACCGCCTTAACCGACTTCCGCCAGCAGCTAGGCAGCGATCGATTCATCACCTCCCACCTCCGACGCCTGTACGACAACATGCTCGAGCAGAACCTGATCAAGGTCATCGAGCCTTTCAGCAGGGTAGAGATTGACCACGTCGCCAAGATGGTCGGTCTCGACACAATACAGGTAGAGCGCAAGCTCTCGCAGATGATTCTCGACAAGGTCATCATCGGAGTTCTGGACCAGGGTGCCGGATGTCTGATCGTATACGACGAATCGGAGCGAGACCAGGGCTACGACGCGGCGTTGAGTACTCTTGAGAAGCTGAGCAACGTGGTTGATGTACTTTACACCAACCAGGCTTCTCTGTTGGAGTAAGACGTGGAAGGGGGAACTTTGACAGCTCCCGAAGCTATGTACAATAAAAGCATAGATGTTAGGTATGCTACACGTCCAATGCGACTAGCTAATAACGATGACACATGACATGGCAAATCTCCTAGGGCAATTGTGCGCGCTGAAGTGGTGTTAACCTCGGTTTGCCCAAGTACAGCAGCATAACAACGCGCAGCATTCGTGTTGTCAACCGGCTATACATCGGCAAACTACCATGTCACCCTTGCTTCTTTTTCTCGAATAAATTGTCGTGTACTATCCGGCATAGCAAGGGCAGCCTTACCGAGCCGACACTATACACATCCCCGTCTCATTCGCCCATCCTTGGCGATCTACACCCACCTCCCATAGCAGCTCCACACAAGAACCACATAGCATCCCCAGATAAATTGGCACGCACGACAACGAACGGGGATTTGATTTGGAATCACGGAGATAGGGGGGTGCAGGACGAAAATATGCAGAAATGAATGATAGCAATGGGATTTCGATACGTATAAAGTACCATGGCCCATCGCACGAACCTTGAACATCCAAGCAGGTCAATTCCATCGTCAAATCTCCTTACTTCGTCCCTACACCCATCTTCATCATGTACTTCACCGCCGCCGCCGCAACCATCCTCCTCTCCCTCCTCCCCACGGCCCTCTCCCACGGCCTCATCACCTCCCCACCCTCGCGTCCCACCGGCCCAGAACTAACCTCCCACTGCGGCCCCGCCATAACCCGCACCATAAACGGCGACAACACCTCGCACGTCGAAGGCCTCCCCGAGCTCCTCCTTCCCCCCTACACCGCCTCAAGCTGCAACCTCTGGCTCTGCAAAGGCCTCCAATTCGCCGACAACCCGTCCAACAACACGCAGGTATGGAGCGCGGGCCAGGTCGTGCCCATGAAAGTGTGGATCCGCATTCCGCACGAGGGCTCCGCGAACGTGAGTATTGTGGATACGAAGAAGAATGAGGTTGTGGGCGAGATGCTGAAGGTGTGGGAGGAGGGGTATGCGCCGGGGAAGAGTGAGGCGGATGTACCGGCCGGGCAGAAGGAGTTTAGTGTTAAGGTGCCGGAGGGATTGGAGGAGAGGTGTGCGATGGCGGGTGATTGTGTAAGTTTCCATGGGTGAGGTGATCTGCGCGAGATGCTAACGCGGTGTAGGTGCTGCAGTGGTGGTGGTATGGTGTGGCGGCTAAGCAGACATACGAGTCTTGTGTCGACTTCAGGATCGCGAAGACGAGTGCTAAGAGGGACTCTTTCGGTCGTGCATTCAGGGGATGAGGTTTAACGCCTGTGGACAGCGGTTTGTAGTCCAGGTTACGTGAGGGATTGGATGTTTAGATTTAGATAGTCATGATTTGCTCAACTGCATAGTCAACCTATCCATAATTGACTACATGCCATTCCTTTAATCCTGAGCCCTTCTCTTTCTCGCTTGCATATTAACAACCGCAATACCCAACAACGTACCGCAGAAGAAACACATCATGATTGTCGCTGCGACCATGGTACAACAGTAACGTTCACTTTCTCGCCTGCGTTTTGCTTCTGTCTGCACCTGGTTGTCGCAGACCTCGCAATGCGTGTGTGGCTCCGAACTCGGTCGAAGAAAATTAGTGATGGTCTGAGCCAACGTCTCAGGGTTTGATGTTGATGAAGATGCGTTGCCGGAAGAGAAAGTGTGGTTATGGGGTTCAGCGTGGAGTTCTATATCGTGGTCGTCGGTTTGGGGAACGGTCGTGTACTGTGAATCGATCGATGGGTTAGCAAGATTGGAGGCTTCTGAGACAATGTGGTAGGAGGGCTTACGCCTGATGCTGGTCCAGAGGGCGCGTATCGGTTCACGGGATGGTCTTGCAATGCCTCTTCGTAGGCGGGTGCTGCTTCTTGTGGAGTGGTGGGGATGCCCATTTTCTTTCTCGATTCAATAACCGTATCTATGTTGTGGGAAGTAGATATGCCCTGAGAAAGTAAGGAATATGGAATAAGTAGTTAATTGTAAGATCAAATGTGCGACAGCATCATTGTTATGTTCATCAGCCAGCTGCTGCCGCTTTGTCGGCCATCCACAATCTGGCAACTGGATGTTGGATGCCTGATGGAATGATAGGATGCTACGAGGGGCTGTAGTGGCTGTGCTGTCAGCCGACCAATGGGATCGGTGCATGTCCATAAATTTGCGGGGCTGTGTCAGCTTGCAAGCCACCGTTAAGGTTTGATCGAAGATAAGCAGCGTAACATTGTTGCTTGAATTTGATTATGACCAATAACGGCGCCGTAACACCCATGCACTGAACTGCGCCTTTTGCTTGGCCACAAATTTGACTCTTTTTGGAAATGTCCACGCAGATCATGAGATGATTGAAACTGGGGTTTAATAGATGTCAAAACAATTTGATGAGTCTCCTTACTGCGCAACCTTGATAACGATCTTGCCCGAAAACTTGCCCGAAAGCAGCAGATCAAATGCCTTCTTTGCGTCCTCAAACCCAAACGTCTTGTCAAGCATGACATCAAACTTGACCTTCTTGTCGTCAATGAACGCATTCATGTCCTCGAAATCCTTCTTCGATCCTACAGCGATACCCTTGAGCTTGGCACCCTTACCCATCAGGGCCATCAGCTGAGCTGGCTTCCAATCCGCCTCCCAGCCGGCGAGGAAGCCGACTAGCGAGACAGTGCCGCCGCGAGCGCAAAGGTAAGAGATGTCATCGATGAGGGAGCCGACGCCAGTGTTGTTGACTACGAAATCGACGCCGCGGCCGTTGGTAAGTTCCTTGATCTTGGAAGCTTGGTCGTCGGTCTTGTAGTTGATACCGCGGACTTTGTCGCTGATCCGCTCTTGAATGGCCTTGATCTTGTCGTTTGAGGACGAAGTAATAATTGGTGTGATGCCGCCGGCGAGACAAAGCAGTAAGGAGAACATGGAAACACCGCCGGTGCCTGGAAGGTATGAGTAAGAGAGTGGGGAATCAGCGATCTTGCCTCACCTTGCAATAGAGCACTAGAGTGCTCTTGTACCGTCTCCAACGAATCCAGGGCATTCCAAGCAGTGACACCTGCACACGGTAACATTGCGCCCTTTTCGTGTATTAGCCCAACGCATTTGCAGATGTTTTCTGAACAACTCACCTCCTCCCACGACAAATGCTTCGGCAAGTGCACCAAGTGCTTCTCCTGGTACATGGCATACTCCCTCAGTACACCCGCGCCATTCGCACCGATAGCCACCGAGATGCTGTCATCCGTAGGATGAAAGTCGCCTTGGTTGCAGATCGGAGCAACAATGTCTCCCACTTTGAAGTTTTTGACTGCAGATCCCAGCCCAACGACCTCGGCGGAGGCATCCGAGCATGGAATGCCTTGTTCAGTGTTAGGCACAGGGTATTCTGCCATCAGCATAGCAACGTCGCGGTAGTTGAGCGATACAGCGTGAATCTTGATAACCACATCGTTGGGACCGAGTTCCTCCTCCTTAGGTAGAGTTTCTTGGGTTCGCTCAAGAGTGAGAGGGTTTTGACGAGAGGCCTTCTCTTGACCTGCGCTGCGACGGTAGGCCGTGTAGGTAGATGGGTAGGTCATGGCGGGAGTTGGATTGGGGAAAATGTGCTTTGGACGATTGCGCGAATGGACCTGATGGATTGAATGTCGGTGTCGCACGGCTTCGCAGTTAATAAATAAGAAAAGTTGCGCCTCTTCCTACAAGCAATGTAAAGTTGCTGATCAATCATGATGGGCTGCTCGATTCGTCCGATGGAGTTCAGGTGTTCGTCATTTCTGCAGGTTGTCGCTAGGTGCGATCCAAATTGGAACCTTGGAACGTCGCGACGCGGAAGGGACGCTACGCTCAAGCGCGAACGCGTTCCAGATGTCGACCATCAAGCCTGCGAACTCGTCCTCCTAAATCCGCAAAGACTGCATCGGGCCTTTTGGTACACAATGCGACATCCACGAGCTGCAACAGCATCATGTTGTGGCCATGCAGGTCTAGCTTTGGTTCCAGGCGGGGCCAGCGGAGTGGAACTTCACTCCGCTTCCGATATTTTTAGTCAGCCTCAACAACCCTCCACTCACGAAGACCTATCCATGCGCCCTATGTTTGACATCGCATACCATCAACGATCTTATTTTGCGGCAAGATTAACGGCTGCGTAGATCTAAGACCCATCGCGTCTCTTTGTCGAAGCTGCGTCGATCCTCGCCCTCCAGGCTACTTAGCCCGACTTCTCGCAAGTCTCCGAGTATCTCGACAGCCTTACTGAAACTCTCATTCGACGCATAGCCCTCATCAGTCAAAATACCTTGTAGCTCTTTCCAGAGTTCCTGGCTCTTGTTGAAAGTCCCCGCCTCTTCGTCGTGTTGCCGTAACTCCTCTGCTGAGAAATGGTACGGACACGGTTCGTTCGTACCAAAGTGACTCCACTCTGTAGAACAGAGAGGAGTGTAGAATGTATATTGATGTTCTATGTACGAAGGAGTGTGCCCCTGTTTATATAGGGAGAAGGAAGCGCTAGTGAGTACGCTAGTGAGTGAATCACGTGAGAGGATGCCTAACTAACACACTCCCTGCGACAATGGTCAGCCAGGAAACTTGATGGCAAACAGATCGACATACCTCTCAACGCGGATCAAACATTCTTCAAAGGGGAAGAGACAGTTGTCCCATGTAGAGCCAACAAAAGCTTCTAATTGCTTGAGGGTCTGGCCATGAGGATGATGCATAACCTTGTACATCAGAGGATTCTTCCCCACCGTAGTCTCTTCATACGTGTGGATTAAAATAGACTGAGACACTTGGTATTTGAGCTTATATTTTGTAGCATCGTCGAGTGCTTTGAAGTTTTCAGGGAGCTTCATCAACATGTCAATCCCATAGTCTAGAAGCAATGGGGGATTGGCACCGATGAACACCGGGGTAACCCAGGCTCCCTGCCAGTCAATGATGCATGATATTCGGTCTTGGGCGTCGATATAGACGTTACCAGGATGGAAGTCTGGGTGCCAAAGTCTGGGAGAGACGAGCTCTGGGTCCTTGGGAGTGATATATGTGATTGCGGCTAAGAATTTCTCCAATAGGACTGTGTGAGCCTCTGGAGACTTCTGCTGTGGACTCGTGTACTGCCATGGAGTTTTATTCGGCTCCTGTGGGTTCGCATGGGCATTGATCCATTCGATCTCACGGCAAGCGACAGACTTTAGGTATTCTGCAGAAGATGTCCCTACACTTATCGTAAGTCTAGATTCGAGTTCACAGACATCCAGAAACTTACAGGGACCATGAGATTGCATTTCACTGCGTTGCTTCTCCCAGAACTCCCTTCGAGTGATGGGCCCAATGCAGTAAGTTGATTCGATGTGACCAACGACATCTTGTGGACCACTTGTAACGATAGCCGGCTCGCATCCTGCGATACCACTATCCTTAAAATACAATGATCCCAATCTGGCAGTGTGTGTAAGTTGGGCTGGCCGCAAACTCTCTGTTGGAGCAAGTTGAATCTTACTTTTCAAAGGAGACCGAGAGTAGTTTCCTTTCAACGTCTACAAACTCACGAACAATGTCACACTTCCTCCGCAGTGAAAGATCCTGCCAAACCTCGTGGAGTTGGGAGCCACTCGCTTCTTCCATGATGATATATTCTGCTTGGACAGAGTTTTGGTCGGTAGCACTCCAAGCGAGAACTCGTGGGACAGGTAAGTTCAAAACAGTCCGGGCAAACTCCATAGTTGCCACTTCCGATGCAGTGGTATGGACTCGTGGGCCAGCATTGGGGTGTGGGACTTTTGCGATGATCTTCTGGCCGTCTTCCATCTCAAGGCGATATGCCTTGTTGTAGTTGCCTTCGCCGATCTTCTTGAAAGATATACATTCGTTTGCACCGACAGCTTGGCAAGCCGCTTGTTGGAGACTCGACACATCAAAGCGTCGGTATCGGGCTTCCAGTTGCTCGCGCTCATTCCATAACCATCGCCCGCTCGTGTAGCAAAACAAAGGATTCGTGTCAGATTGAGGATGTGAGGGCATTGCGCGGCTACCGTCCAAAGTGTGTAGTAAGCGAGGGTAGTGTCGCTTTGCGATAATTGACCAGCTTCGACCAAGCGCCATTGCTAAAAACTTGCAAAAAGGCCGTGATATAAATAGTGAGACGAAGTTGATGTTGAGACCATGAGACGCGCCGCCAAGCCTGCAGCCTTTGTGGGCTTCTCAAGTAAGATACTACTGGCGCTGAGCCTACTTTTTCCGCGAGCGTTGTTCGTCGCGATGGACGAGCGTGGAGACGGGGACATTGCTGTGTGCGGATCAAGCGGCGTATGTACCAGGCGCGTGATTATCAGGCCCGCATGCAAATAGAGCTTGCATCAGCGCTCGGCTGGCTGGTTCCATATTGACGGGTGTGGTGGGAGGGTGAGCTCGGGCAAGAAGCCAGCAACCGCGACGCATGTTCGGACAAGCTTCGGGACGCATGCGCCACGGCTTGAGCTATCTCGGCGTATTGACAGAACATCCGGGAACCTACACTAACGTTAGGTCTCCTACCTTGCATGTTTCAGTTTCATGTAGTCGCTAAGATTTTGTCCAGGCATGCGGAGGCTTGCCTGCCTCTGCAGATAAATGCGAAAGATGTGTTAGTAGAGGCTGCACGTCTCCAAAACTCACGAACATCGTTCTAGACTGATTATCTACAATCTCATACCTCTGAAATAATGATCGTCGTAGTTGTCGACGGAAGAGTAGGGGTGCGTCTTCGCTATTGCTTCTAACGCCACAGACGGAATTCCAGAAGACACAGTCGAAGTTGTTATCATTTGAGTTTTACTAAAGTACCTAGGTACTCCACAGTGTAGCACGATGAAAGAATAGAGTGCGCCTTTGACTCAGACTGCGGTCTGGTCCTACAACCTAAGTTTTAGCAGACATCACTTTCGCAGGAAAGATTCGAAGATATGCAAAGATCATGATGTTCTCATTCCCATCGATCTAAATAAGTACTGTCGGTACTCGTGTTACTTACTTCAAAGTACGCCGCCGCCGTCGTGACTTTTAAAACTAAATGTTAGTATGAATCATGAAAATACAAAACCTCGACCGCAACTCCGCGCTAGTATTACAACCATCAAAGGAATCAAATCGCCAACTCGTCAGATCATCTCATCATAAACACCATACTCGGCCACGACAGGCTTACGAACTGCCCCACCGGCCACCGCCCCCATCCCCAACACACAACTCTCCTCACCCAGTATCTCCGACAACTCAACATCGCCCTCTGCCAAACCCTGAACCGCCCGAACCAAGTCCTTCTCGACAAAGTTTTGGAAACGGTCGCGAGCAGTGTCTACACCAGGACGATGGAAGAAGAACTTGACCGCGGTGCCAAAGGCAAACCACTGATCAACCATGAAAAGCATGGCCTCTTCTAGTTCACTATTCTCGTAGATGTCCTGGAGGCATGGGCGGAGGAGCGAGCGAACACAGAGATGGATTTCCTGGAGTGGGTTCTGGCCTTGGTTTTGGAAGTTGAGGAGGATGTCATGGAGGGGTGAGGGTGGTAGATTCTCGAGAGAGAGGTAGACACGAACTACGTGAATGTCGCCGTCTAGAATGGTGGCGGGGTCTTGGATCTTCTTGGTCGTCTGCTTGCCTGTCGCGTCGGTGGCGACAAAGGCGAAGACGAGGCCGGTGGGCGGGGATACGGCGGGCAGCTTTTGGACTGCGGGAGCGGTGGCTGTGGGACTGGGGAGCTTTGCGCCTAGCGATAGAGAACTTGAATCGAATACAGGTGATGTCGGGGATTTGTTTGAAGAGGCAGGCGCAGGTGGACCCATACCGCCCTGCAGTGTAGGGCCGAAGCCCCAAGTTGGGGAAGTGTTTGTGTTAGTAGTAGTGGAAGAGCCAAAGCCGAAGCGTGGCGGAGTAAGAAAAGAAGGCATTCTGTTGGTTAGTAGAGTCGATTGTCCTGTAGTTGAGGGAGTTGCAAGTGTTGCGATTGCTGTTGTTGGAACTGTTTGTCGCTGGGTGTGGGGGACCACGTACTTTTATACCTGCAGGGCGGGGACGCGCACAGACAATGTGCGTTTGCGAAAAGTGGTGAAAAGGCGAGAGTGAGTGAGTCAAGAGGGCGAGATCGGCGTTGTGAGAAGGTCCATGGTAGCGATGATCGCGACCAAAGTGTCGCCGCAAGTGAGCGAATCATCAGTGTTAACTTGGGAAGATGGATTAGGCTGCACACTCAACTGAGGGTCAGTGGTGGTATGAGCAATGATAGTAGAAGACATCTGTACTTGATCCGTATGAAAAGAGAGTATGTACGGAAAGAATGGTAGTAAAATGAGTGTAAGTCCCATCGCCAATCCCAGGGCATTCCAAGCACCCATGTGCTCTTCCAAAGTCCCAAATCCCACATTCCACCTATCCCATCGAAACCAATCAACAAGCGGCGATATCCGCAGGCGTATAAATGCAAGCCGAGCTAGGTCCCTCGCTGATCTGCTTAGGTTCAGCACCCGTATCGTTACCCTCGAACTCCTCGCAAATAGCCTTTGTGCCTGTGACGCAGGAGTTGGTAATGGTAGCAGTATCGCCGTAGTTGGAGTTAATACCAACGAAAGTCGCTGTTCCGCCTGTAGCCTTGACCTTGTCGATCTTGACGTGGCGCTCACCCATGGTCTTGCAGTTTCCACATGATCGGTAGAGCTTGCCAAAGGTTGAGACTGTGAAGCCTGAGATTGAAATGGTACCCGCGCCGTTGTGTTGGATGACTTTGTCAGATGCGCCCATCGCTCCGCCACCGGTGACTGTGCCGTCGCCGTCCTTCTTGAAGGTGAGAGCGTCTTCACATACATCTTCCCACCAGACATTCTCGATGGTGCAGGCTCCTTGGCAGTGTACTCCCTCGATCTGGTCGGCTCCGATGATGACGTTGCGGAGAGTGCCGCCGTTGGCAATAGAGAATACAGCATCGCTGTCTCCTCCTTCTGATTGACCGGTGCAAGACACTCCACGGCCGAAACGCTTCATGCCGCCATCGAATTCGCCGGTTACCATCATTGTCTTGGAGAGAGTAGACTCGCCAGCTGCTGCGGGCATGGTACCGCTTGCTGCACTACCGCCTGAGCTAGGCATAGTGGAGTTGCCTGATCCAGAGCCCGATCCAGTTTGAGTTCCCCAACCGGAGGAAGATCCACCACCTGAAGAAGAGCCACTGCCTGAGGATGAACCACCACCTGAAGACGAGCCACTTCCTGAGGATGAGTCGCTGCCCGAAGACGAGTCGCTGCCTGAGGATGAGTCGCTTCCCGAAGATGAGCCTCCGCCTGAGGATGAGTCGCTTTCTGAGGATGATCCGCTGCCTTTTCCGCTACCGCTGCTGGAGTCCGAACCTGATCCCGAACTTGAACCGCTATCTCCACCAGAGCTTGAACCGGAGTCGCCAGTCGCATCCTCAGTGCTGTCGCTAGCGTCATCGGAAGACTTGCCCTTGCCACTGGAAGATCCCTCACTGCTGTCAGAAGAGCCCGAAGAGCCCTTCGATTTGTCTTTCTTGTCATCCTTGGAGTCGGAAGCACCGTCCTTAGAGTTAGACGAATCCTCTGCAGAGTCCTTGGAATTAGAGGCGTCCTTCGAGTCCTCATCCGTGGCTCTCCAAACCAAACCGAAGGGTGAACGCTTCGTAACAACAGGTTCGGACTCAACAGATCTACGCTCGTAGTCGTTGCCGGGGGTAAACGTAGGAGCACCCGTCATCTGAGGGTCGGATGGCTGGCCGCCAAAACCTGGGAAGCCGCCGGTGGGAGCAGCGCCACCGCCAGGGAAGTAACCGGGGTCACCGCCATTGCGTTGGCCACCTCGTCCTGGGCCACCGCCCATTCCCATTCCAGAGCCGATGGAATCAGAGCCAGGACCGCTGGACTCGGTGCCGTTGCGTTGACCGCCGCCGTGTTTGCCGCGATGGCCACCACGATGGCCATGAGCCTTTGTAGGAGCGGGACCTCGAGCCGAAAGTTCCGTCGGCTTAGCTGGGGCGGGAGCAGGTGCCGCGGAGACAGAGACGATCAGGGCCGCAGCCGCGATGGTAGTCAGAGAGAAACGCATGTTTTGTTGGTTTTCTGGGTGATTTGAAGTGAAAGTAGGGGAATGAAGGTATTGCACAGCAAAGATGACACAGTCAAGAAAAGAAGGGTGACCGGCACTGAGCTGGAGAAGAGAATGTGGAAAAGGGAAGGTGTTGGAAGCAAGGAAGAGATCGTTGGTCCTGATGAGGATGAGGATCTTGCAGTGGGCGAGTTGCCGATGTCTTTATAGCCATTGTGTTAGGAATGCGTACAGTTGGTTTACTGAACATGCGTGTCGGTGGTATACGACGACTTCCCACACCACCTGAACTCCAAACCTCCAAGCGCATCATGCCTATCGTCGGTTGAACAGTGGGTAGGGCGCAATCAATGCGATGACTGAGTAGGCCCGAACACACGTGCAGTCGTGAATCGAGGAAACGTGGAAACAGGCCTGGTATCCTGGAAAAAGACTGTGTTTGGTTTGCGCGTTCCGTTGACGAAACCGATCGTCCGACAGCTGACAATCTATGAGAGGGATGTGTCAGGTTTCATGTTGAGGATTTCGGTCTTGGCAGCAGTGACAGCCATGTAGGGTGAAGCTACTAGTGAAGATGCAGAAACGTCCCGCTTGTCAGTTGGTAGTCTAGAAGTTCCGGAAGTTTGGAGTTTCGTGTCGCGCGTTTCACTTACTCGACGGAACGAATGCAGGTTGGATGGACTGACCACCAAGAATGTAGTATTCGCTATCATGCAGCGCAATACAAATTAATGAAATAAGTGACATTTAGCGAGGTCTGCATCGCCTACATTCGCGCTGCTTTCTTAGGGTCTGGCCTTGTCCCTATAACGATCTCGCTTTCCTAACCCAATCTTTGCGAATATCTTCCAATCTAAGGAACCGAGTGCGCAGTATATGCGAGGTGGCTCGGGTTCTCCAGTACTATCTACCACGGTGGCCAAGTTGTCTTTCATGTACACTCGAAGTTCGTCCTTGAGACGCGAGGGTGTAAGCCGTGAGTAGTATATCGTGCTCAGACCTTGAGCTTGCATGCGCGGGATATGATCATGTAGTCGGTTAGCGCTGTGAACATGTGGATTGCATGTTTCGATCTGCAAGATCTGGACTGCCCTTGAATACGGGTCGTTTGAAACTCCAAAACGTTCCCACAAGTCGATCAGCTGGAATGGCTCGACAGCATAACCGGTAGCGAATCGTAGCTTCAGGGCCAGCTCAACATCCATAGCGTGTTCGCCGGCGTTACCGGTTCCGATCATGGTTCTCGGGGTAGCGTCACCTCCGAGGACTTCCAGAAGGCGGTTCATCCATTCGTTCACGACACGCGAGGAGCGTCCAAACTCGTCAAACTCGAGCTCACCGTTCCTAACTTTTGGCTTCGACTTCCATTTGATACGCACCATCGCATGCTCATCTTGTTTGGTACGCTTGTTGTGATACAATGCGTAATGCAACCCAGCGGCGTATACTTTACAGTACTCGAGGACGGATCCGGGAATCTGGTTGTCTGCATCAATGAAACCGACGAACTTACGTCCAACAAGCTTCGTGATGATCACACCGAGTATCATAGCCTCTCCTTTTCCGTTGTTCATGCGTGGAACATGGGTTCTCCCCTCGGGCGTACTTGTTCCTGAGTGTTGCAACAGCTCTGGCATTCCGGCTTCCTTGAAGGCGCGGGCGAAGGTTGACTCACCTTGATGATGTACCATAACAGATCGACTTGCAACCCTTCCGAATTTGAGCAGCGACTCGCACTCCGCCTTATAATTTGTCTGGTTGCTGTTCGAGATGAAGATGACAGAACAATGATGTGGAATACCACGAAGAAGGCCTTCGAGAACTGTGATATCTTCATCCATGCGGGGAACTACGATTGCTAGATTGCGCTCGATGCTTTCGATTGAATCTGGAGTGATGACAATGTTCTCCTGATCGACAGAGGTGTTAGCCGTGCCATCACCCGATGTGTCTTGACCGCCTGCGTCCAGTTCCGAGACAGAAGACATCTCGCGTAGCTGCACGTTCCCGACCCGGGTGATTTCTGGGCGGATGCTCAATCTCATGATGAAGATAAGCTGATGATCGAAGTGGACTCAGTCTTGCAACGGTTCTGATGACGGAGTAAGGGTGTATGAAAAAAAAAAGTATATTCTCACAAAACCCATGGGTCTTATAAAGAGATTCTTGCGGTCTGCTCGATGCTGCTCTTGACTGCATTGTTAGACGTTTGACTCTATGTGATTGACGAGCTATTCGTAGCTGTTAGTACAATCTCTCGTGCGGAGCTAATTGCAGTGTGAATCCGAGGAAGGCTAGGATTTGATAGCCGATGTCGGCGTATGTCAATGTTGCTAGACACGCTGTAGCAGAGGTGGGTCCAGGATAACGTTGCATTGTGTCGGGCTCTGCAGCGATTCGACCATCGAGTATATCGGGTACTGAGGGTGGCGGTGCTTGTTTGGCACTGACGCGTTGTTGACATTGTCAAGTGCCGCAATTGACAATCACAGTACTGGTGACCCTTCCTCAGGAAGATGTCCCTTTACCGGGAAAATGGAGTGGATGAATTGGATCGGGTTACGTTGCGGTGATGATGCATTGCATGTAGCCAGTGTATGAAACGATGGAGGTCTTTCTCTCAAGCGAGTCTTTCCACGTCAAACACGACCGGCCGTGGTTGCTCTCGGAGGATACTTTGAACTGCGATCAATACCCCGAAGAGTTCTCGCAGTCCCTTTGAGTGCTCCTGTCTTTATAAATGTGTATTCACGCGCCGTCGCGCCCTCCCACAATGGATGCGGCATGGTGGTGTCGTTTCGTCTGACGCGCTGTCGGTACCGTCGCGGCGCGCGCGTTTTTCAACGAGGCAGACAGACAACATCTCAACACGAGAGACTCATCCGGTCTTCTGCGAGGCTTGGGGCGACTGCATTGGGCGAGGGCTAGTGTTGGCGCGAGTGGTGTTGTTAGTGGAAGGCAGTTGCACCAGCGAAGTTTGTCCAGTGGAAGCTCGGCTATCCGCTGGAGCTCTGGCCTCGCCCGAACGCCTCCATGACGTCTGCAGCTGGTGACACCAGAAGCGCTATGCGGACCCGGAGACTGAGAGCTTTCCCCGCGTTTGCGATGCTTTTGTACTATTTCCTGGATCCTTCTTAAGTCGTCATTTCCCCGGATTCCCTGCGATGGCTTCCAACGATAATCCCGACAAGATGAGCTACATCTACAACTCGCAGCTCGTGAGCGCCCCTGACATGTGAAGATGGACACTGGCTGACATTGATCGTTAGGATGCCTTCACCCTTTACCATATCTCGCACGAAAAGGAAGAACATAGCTCGGTCGGCCCTGTACTTCCCGCCCTCGGCCATGCTTCGTCGGGTGCTCTAGGAACCGTTGTGTCGAAACTCCTAACATACCCTCTCGATGTCGTTATCACGCGCCTCCAAGTTCAGCGACAGCTACATCACGGCGACGCGCACCCACACTACAATGGCTTTCTCGACGCCATCGAGAAGATATACGAGAGGGAGGGCGGACCAAAGGCCTTCTACAGCGGTGTAGTGCCCGAGGTTGTGAAGGGTGTTGCCGACAGCTTTTTGTTCTTCCTAGCGTATTCATATGCGCGACAGAAGAGGCTCGAAGCGCGAGGTACTGGACACAGCTTGCCGGCGCTCGAAGAGATCGGCGTCGGCGTTGTCGCAGGCGCTTTCTCCAAGTTCTTCACCACACCCATTCAGCAGATTGTCACGCGGAAGCAGACGGCGGCGATGATGCGACAAGAATCGTCGACTACTATACCTCCACTGTCCAGTACCAAAGATATAGCACACGAGATTATGCGCGAGAAGGGCATACAAGGCTTCTGGTCTGGCTACTCTGCCAGCTTGATCCTCACCCTGAACCCTTCCATCACTATGCTTCTGCACAAGGCTCTCCTGCGATTGGTGGTACCCAGGGCAAATCGAGACGACCCCGGCGCCCGCATGACGTTCCTTCTCGCCGCCATAAGCAAGGTCCTCGCCTCAACTGCTACCTACCCGTTCTCTCTCGCGAAAACACGCGCCCAAGTGTCCTCACAAAAGCCCTCTTCCGGTATTGGTGAGACCTCGGACAAGGAGAAGTCGGACGAGCCGCTCGAGTCGAGAGCACTCCAAGCTAGACAGCGGACAGTGTTCAGCACCATCTTGCGCATCGCCCAGACTGAGGGAATATGGGGCTTGTACCAGGGTCTGGGCGCGGAAGTGCTCAAAGGTTTTTTCTCTCACGGCATCACCATGTTGATGAAGGACCGCATCCATGCTGTCATCATCAGCCTGTACTACACTGTGCAGGGCGCGTTGAAGAAGTACCCCAGCCCAAGTGAAGTCGCACAGTCAGCATCGAACAGCGTTCAGAGTGCTTATGAGCAAGGCAAGGAGCAGGCTAGCGATGCGTATGCGAAGGGCGCCGAGGTCGTCGGCAACGCAACGGAATCGGCAAAGCACGCCGTTTCACAGGGCTCACAGCAGGCGCAAGACCTTGTTGAAAAAGGCAGAGATGCTGTTAGCGAGGCCGCAAGCAGCGCCTACGATCAGGGCAAGAACGTGCTAGACAAAGGACAGGATGCTGCCACCAACGCCACTCAGCAAACTGGTGAAGCGCTTGAGCATGGCAAGAGGGCCGCAAGCGAGGCATCGCAGCAGGCCAAAGATGCTGTTCTGGACGCCGACATCAAGGACATCAATGGCCCTGATACGGGCATCAAAGAGTGAGCTATGCAGCAGATGATTTCCTCAACTCCTTCAGACTGTACATATACCCGATTGATTTTGTATCTCTTTGTTTAAAGGCATGTCTGTGGATGGAGGATGTATGTTTTTGGTATGGTTCGGCGTCAAAAGCGTGCCTGACTTTCGTAATGCATAATGAGCAAATAATTGCCGGGTGAACTGTCCATCTACCTTGGGCGATCTGAAACGTCAGGGTGTCAGTATCCACTGCCACGCTTCGAGTAGCTGGTATGTCCATGTACCTAGGTACCGGACGTAAGCGTTCCAATGAGATTGAGCCTGTGTCCAAAGTAACTGCAATGGAAATCGTGTTCACGCCAGAATAGTACCAGCGTGTCGACTGGAAGCAGGATTTTCCAGCCTTGCGGGCTTTGTTGTCTCTGCTGCGCTGGCTATTGTGGGGATGGCTGGTCACGGTACGCCGCATGTGTCATGCCGGTGGCTGGTTGCAGCGGTTGCCCTGGAGGCCAATGCGCTAACCACCTGGCTCCGCCCGCAGCGCCTCCATCATCAACAACGACGCCTGGCGACACATTCGACTGCATGCCGCAGTTGAGCGGCGACTAACTACTAACCTGCACAGGAACAGGACAACTATTGTTTGCGCGACAGTGCGAGCGCGAAGAACCGACTCGAAGTTTCCGATAGTCGGCGGCGCATGACTGGCGACTCACAGCACGGCCATTGGACAAAAGCGGAATCGTCAACATCCCGGACACCAAGAGGGCAGCCGCAACCCACGCGCACACCACCAGCTGCGGCTTCCTATGTCGTAGACGCCGGTGACGACATAGACCGCGACCGATCAGCTGTGTGTTGACGTCTCGTCACTGCACCCCGCCCAGCTCATTCCCCTGATCACCGCACGCTGTTGGCAGTCGCAGCCCAACCCCCACCGCCATCATGACGACCACCGGAGCGCAGTCTTCGCCGAGCCGGGGAGGATGGAGCAGCCTCGAGGAGGAGCTGGCTTACTACAAGTCTCAGTACGAGACGCTGGAGATGGAGCTGCAGGAGTTTCAGGCATCAAGCAAGGAACTAGAGGCCGAGCTCGAGCGCGACGTCGAGGAGAGCGAGAAGCGGGAGCGCAAGCTGCAGGAAAAGGCAGAGAAGCTGGGTTTCGAGGTTGAGGAGTGGAAGGTGCGTCGTCTCCGACACAGTTGGGGCGGATGTATGCCCAACAGACAGTCACTAACAAGACACCACAGACAAAGTACAAGCAAAGCAAGGCCGAGGCCAACAATGCGCAGAACACCCTTCAGAAGGAGATCACCACGATGCGCGAGAGCCAACGCGCCCTCCAGATGCGACTCCGCGACATCGAAGTACAAAGCGACGATTTCGAGCGCCAGGCACGCCATCAGACATCATCACTCGAGGATGTGGAATCCAAGTACAACGTAGCCATCGAGCGCAGCGTCATGCTGGAAGAAGAGATCAAGATCGGAGAGCAGGAGCGAGAAGCACTGCGGATAGAAACACAGCGCCTTAGGGACGAACTGTCAGACCTGCGGGTAGAGGCGGAAATCACGCAGGAGAAGCTGCGCATCGCCGAGGAGACGATTGAGAACCACCACGTGCGTAAGGTATCCAACCATCTCTCTGGCGATGCCCTCAGGCCACGCTCGCCGGTCTCAGAAGCATCGACCACAGCAACCACCGTCTCCTCGCCTACGGCTGCTTCGACCCCACCACACTCGAAAGCAGATGGCCTACACACGGACGCGACTCCTCCTTCGCCGCCGCTGTCCGACGCACCCATCACGACTAGATACGTACCCTCGACGCCCATGCCCAAGCGAAAGAACTCGTATGCGCCGCTGGACCCAGGTGCAACCCCTCGCGCCGGCTTGTATCAGCGAGTCCCAAGGCACTCGCGAGGGCCCAGCATGTCAGCATCGCGCCCAAGTACAAGTGCCAGTGGGCGGGCGACACCCTCTATACGAACAACTACACCCGCATCGCGAGCGCCTAGACCAAGCTTTGGAAGTGCTGCACCGCCGCCAAGTTTGCCTAGGTCAGGCTCGCTCGTTCAGGTTCGAGGGCTGATTGGTAAGATGCAGAAGCTCGAAGAACGGGTACACGCAGCGCGATCCAAGCTCCCTGCGCCAACTACGACCCCACCGCGAGCCAGCCCCCGAAACGGCAGTGCCATGGGACACCACGTGCCAAGTACCGTCACATTGAGGAGCGGCAGAAAGCGCAGCTCCCACGCATCAGCGGGCTCGTCAGTCCCTGGCGCCTACGAGTCGGGTGTAAGCCGGCTGTCATTCGGCATGTCGACCTCGTCGCGC